TTTTTGCCTCAATCATCATCAAACTTGGTCAGGATACTTGTCTTGGTGATAGCTCAGATGAGTTCGAACATGGGTCATCTCGGATGAAAAACTAGATCACAGGAGCTAAGAATAGAAAAACCTTGTTAACACTCTAGTGGTCACATTTTTGCCTCAATTATCATCAAACTTTGTCTGGATGCTTGTCTAGGTGATAGCTCGGATGAGTTTGAACATGGATCATCTCGGAGGAAAAACTAGGTCACCGGAGCTAAAAATAGAAAAACCTTGTTAACACTCTAGTGGTCACATATTTGCCCCAATCATCATCAAACTTTGTCAGGATGCTTGTCTTGGTGATAGCTCGGATGAGTTCGAACATGGGTCTTCTCGAATGAAAAACTAGGTCACCGGAGCTAAAAATAGAAAAACCTTGTTAACACTCTAGTGTGGTCACATTTTTGACTCAATGTCATCAAACTTGGTCAGGATGCTTGTCTAGGTCATTGCTCGGATGAGTTCGAACATGGGTCATCTCGGATGAAAAACTAGGACACCGGAGCTAAAAATAGAAACATAGGAGCTAAAAATAGAAAAGTCTTGTTAACACTTTAGTGGCTACTGTTTTGATTCAAATATCCTGTAAATTGATCTGTAAGTTTTGTTTTAATAATTTTTATATCAAGTTTGAATATGGGTCACCTGGGGTCAAACACTAGGTTACACTGCCCAAATATGGAAAAACATTGTTAACATTCTACTGGTCACATTTTTTACTCAATTATCATCAAACTTGGTCAGGATGCTTGTCTAGGTCATTGCTCGGATGAGTTCGAACATGGGTCATCTCGGATGAAAAACTAGGACACCGGAGCTAAAAATAGATAAATCTTATCAACATTCTAGTGGCTACTGTTTTGATCCAAATATCCTGTAAATTGGTCTGAAAGTTTATTTTGATTTCTAGGTCAATTTCGAACATGGGTCATCTCGGATGAAAAACTAGGTCACCGCCCAAATATGGAAAAACATTGTTAACACTCTAGTGGTCACAATTTTGCCTAAAATCATCATCAAACTTGGTCAGGATGCTTGTCTATGTAATTTCTCGGATTAATTCGAACATGGGTCATCTCGCATGAAAACCTAGGCCACCGGAGCTAAAAATAGAAAAATCTTGTTAACGCTCCAAGTATCCTGGAAACTGGTCTGAAAATTTGTTTTGATGATTTCTAGGTCAAGTTCGAATATGGGTCACCTGGGTAAAAAAAACTAGGCCACACTGCTTAAATATGGATAATCTAGGTATTTGTTCGGATGAGTTCGATGGGTCAGGTGAGCGATGGCCCTCATGTTTATAAAAGATAACTTTTTCAGATTATACATGAATATGAATAATGTGTGTAAAATCTTTATATTTAAGTTTTTATACTTCCTGTTAAGATTAACCATACAACAAAACAGGATGGAAAGGTAAGTGTTGAGTGAGTAACATTTATAATAACATTTTTATCAATAACGCATGTAGTGAACGCGCTTCGGATTCCATTAATTTTGTCTAAAATTTAAAAAGTACTAATTGATAACTTAAAAGAAATTGGTCTTTAATGAAATGTTTGTAAATACAATAAATACTTACGTTGGCAGTACTAATATAAAACATAGCAACAAACCAGGAAAGAATTATATATAGGTAATGTTAGCAATTATAAGACACATGATTTGTTATTACATAAATTTATATAGCAGATGATAAATTGTTCTATCAAAAAAATATTATTCACCATATTATACATGTTCATATCAAATCACTTAGAACTTTTTCAACATTTGTTTTCAAACGTTATTTCATAAGATATTCCAAATGATACATTTCTATTGTTTTTGCACGGAAAATACATGTATGCCCAAACATTGTACCCAACCAAATATTGTACCCAACCAAATCCCCTGTAATATCCGTTCATTATATTAATAATAATTGAAACACGTCAAACGTTTAGTCGAAAAAAATATAAAATAGTAATAAAAACATTTAATGATAAATGACTAACATTTTGTATTGAAAAAAAAAAGTTTAGGATAAAATATAAAGCTGCCTAAAACATGGAAGATGAAAGTAACAAATGAATACCAATGGATATTAACAGAAATTTTCTAGAGCCATGTGAGTTACTTATCATTCATGCGAATTAAATTATAGATTTGAAAAGAATTATGGTAAGATGTACAGTTATTTTGACTTTTAACTGTCCACTCACACTATACCATTAGAAAAACATTGTCACTTTGTAACAACTATTGATATACGTAGGCTAGGTAATTTCTTGCTAACAATATTGAATATTTATTTAAATATTATAATAATCACTTCTTAAATAGCTTATTTAATCACATTAAACTTTGCATTATAGAGAAAATCCATAATATTCTTGATTTTATGACTTCCACAATTTATATAATTTTAAAGAAACCATAGATAGACAAAGGGCCGCAGCTCATCAACAAAACATCAGGACGTTCTCTTTTTAACTTTTTATTTATTATCAGAAATGGAACAGTGTACAACCAGACAGGGTCCATATGGGGAAGAAAGTGACCCGGATCATGATGCTTCACAAATAGACATATCAGATGGCCGTGTTGAACTAAATGACAGTAATGAATATGACACGTTAGTTAATGTAGAAGCAAACGGTACATGGGCTGTAACAAGAACTGGTTTAGAAGAATGTACAGAAAAAGCCATTGATGGTTGCGATCATGAACAAAATGAAGACACTAGCAAAGACACTAGCACAACTGACTACAGTAGGATGACTTTTCATTATTATATTCGGTGTTAATCTTTAACTGATCATTTTTAACATGATTATATTCTTGCATTGTTATTGAAATATCTGTTTAGTAGCTGTATACATAGAGGTAATGTTTAGAGGATGTTTCCAAGCGTATTCTTTAACATATTTACACCCAACATAATTTAAATTTAAGTCATTGGCCAATCGTCAATATAACATTTGATATACAAGTTAATTTCTTCTGTTTAAATATATGTTTTTTTTATAAATAGGTTGTTTAGACTGGAATAAAGTTTTCCATTTCTTGGCGAACCAACTAGATGCGGCAAAATGTTTATTATTTTTTAATACCTTATATGGTAAGTTACAATGTTGATAATACTCATAAATTGCGCTTGCATATCGAATATATCATTAGATCGCTTTATGGTGATAGATTAATATATTTAGAATGAATAAATCATGAATTCTGTTCTATAGGTAAGTATGTATACAATTCTAAACTTTAATGCGTTAGGATTCTTTACAGGATCATGATTCCTTTATTCTTGGTTTAAACATATTTATTTTAGCTCGATTGCAAAACAAGTTCTTGCAACTTATATAAATCACTCTGCTAACCCATGATCTCTGGGTTGAGAGGCAGACACCTTAACCACTAGGCCACCGCTCCCCTTTATACTTAAAATGAATAAATGATGACGGAGCGTCTGTGGTCGAGTGGTTAATGTTATTGATTTCAAACCACTTGCCCCTGATTGTAGTTGGTTCAAATCCTTTGGGTTCGTTCATGTGATGCTATCCAGCTAGCTTCCTGAACGTCTGTGGTTCTACTCAGGTGCTCGTTTGTGCCTGTAAAGCTGGAAAGTCGTCATATGAACTATTCTTTGTTGTTGCAACGTAGAAGCAAACAAAAACAAAATATATGATGATATTTATCATTACATATGATTTCAACCATCAGGAGAACATTCTTTCATTGTATATTCCTAGAACAAAAAGAAACAAAAAATCAAACGACGAATTCATGAAATTGAAGCATGTTCAATGTTTGTCAAAACATTTTTATTTCAAACACTGTTATGATATTTTAAAGGAAATACAAGATATGCAGGCGAACTAAATTCTTCAGCAAGATACAAACAAGTTGAAAACGATACAAAACTTCGATTGGGCATATGCGACACCGTAACTCTACTTGTCGAACAGTTTAAGGCATGGAAAGAATACGCAGGAAAAAATGCTAAACACACAGTTATATCTATGTCGCTTCAAGAGCTTGACTTAAATGATACGTTGCATAAGTTTGAAAGTTTCATGTGGTACGTATATCTTAGTTCAGTTAGACATGCACCGAAGTAGGTTGAATGTATAGAGCGACACATATTTTTTTTTTCAAACCATTTAATCATTTGTTATAGTTTATATTTCCAAGTGCACTGGATTTTTTAATACTCATAAATTTGCAGTTTATAAGGCAATAAAAATTAAGAACAACTCTGAAACATTATTACAATTCCAAGCTAAGATACACGCTTTAGTACTAAAAATTATAGTTTTTTAGTTAGTTATACATTAAGTTATATATTTGATATAGAACACGAACATGTAAATCCTTAAAGTATGTTGGGTGTGTCTTTGTAGTAATCCGCCCATGCTACTCCCAAAGCGTCAAGTCACATCTCTTATCAAGGACGACGATTTCTGTATATCGGATCAAAACCTTGATGTCATGTCTTTTCCAATGCCTCAAGTACATTTAAAAAGGACCTTTTATGCAATGGAACAAAGCAGTTGCTGCCAAGAACGTAGGAAAGCTCCAGACGGTGTACCAGACAATCTGGTAATGCCGAAATGGTGTTACCAGGAATCGGTTCATCAGAGCGAAACTTTTCCAACAACAAAAATCAATATAGAAAACCCTTTGGTACCTGATCATGAGGTAGCGAACGGTTTGTGTAGGGAAAAGAAAAACGATCCTCCTAACGAATCAAGTGAATCAAATCTATTTACACCCTTTCAAACACATTTGACCATGAGTTCTTTTTGGATGCTGATAAAGACATTTGTCCTGAAATCCAAAGAATACTTGCATCAAGATATGTACCAAATACTTCTATGCGATACCATTTCAAAAGTCATGACAGAAACAGTCAAAAAAGAAGAAGTTATACTGTCTTTAACATACCAGGATTTTCTGGATGCAGAAAAAATTAAAACAAAAAAGGAAACAATTGCTGTGATGTATTCAAACGAAATAAGATTAGTACTGGGAGAAGCAGTTTTCTCAGACCTGAGTTTCTATGCAGAATATGCACGGAGGCAAGTAATCGGAAGACTTGGAGAAAATATCAACCAGGCAGACAAAGATTTCCTTTTCCTAGACTACAACGGTAACCGAATGTATTCACAGGTAATTATTAACATTATATCCTTGTGTTTGTATCTGTCTAGTACAGGTTTGTGCATGCCTTTGACAGAATGTAATGCTACTTCTTGCATACCATAAGTCATTTACTACTAACACGTATAAGTTTAATTTAAGGATGTAGATTAAATCAGCTAATCAATTGCTGGTTGTGGGGAGTTATACAAATATATTGCTCTGTGACCAGATAATGCATTTTGAATGCATAACGTAAATCAATCTATCTAATTAAAAAGACATCACTATTTAACCAGTTTCACCGTGACTTTCAAATTTAGCCTTCTAAATTCAACGTTATTAATCAAATAAACATTGTTTCAAAATAAACATTTTTTTCCATGAGAAATCACTTCATATTTCATCACCGTATGATAACGATGCACAAAGACATTGTCTAAATTTATACATAACAGAGAATTTACACGGCGCTCAGAATCGGTCAAATAGCCATAGCCAGGCAGGCATCATTCATTTTAGCTACGGACTCCGATTAGAGTTTAAAATGTTATATTATGTCATCAGTTTAATTTATTTTTAATATTGAATCATTGATAAAAAAATAAAACTTCCGTTAATGTCTTCACAATCTAATTCCTTTATATATTCAATAATAATAACGTATTTTGTTTATGTCCATATTGCTTAAAAATAATAAAAGAAACATAAATCAGTTATTTAAAGAATGTGAAAGATAATTATGATCGACATATTTAGGATAACAAAATGTAAATAGAAAAGGTTTGAGCGCAAAAAAACTTTTGATTGATTTATTTGGATTTTAAGCCACACCAACACGGAAAAGTCATAATTAATGCGACTATCCAGCTTTACTGGTAGAGAAAAAACTATGATGACCATTCGTACAATATTTCAAGTATGAGCGGGTACGTGAGAAGAGCCACCGGCCTTCCGTAAGCTTGCTTGAAAGTGTTTCCTCACTTTAAAGAATCCAGTCCATTGCGGGAGTAGAACCTGAAGTGATATGGAGATCCCAAAACATTCTGTAGGGGTCTATAATTATGTATGCATTGTTTGAATTTAAGTTTCTGACCGAACGTTTGTGTTAATTTTCAGTGCCTACTAGGTGATGAGAAAGAAAAAGAATTGTATCCAGCCAAAGAACGTTTTGTTACTGTCCAAGATACCAGTACAGCTTAAATGGAAGAAAATCAACTGTGACTTTATTGTTCTATGTGTACATTATTCTTTTAAGAATTCAATTTGCATTTTTACTTAAGGTTGCGACAAAGACTGTATATTGTTGAATGTTTCCGATACGGTTCGATTGTCTCTGTCCGAGGAATGGTATTTTTGTTCTTTGTTTTAACATTTCATAGCAATTGTAAGCACACTGATGTTTTCAGAACAATTGATCTCGGACACATAATGTATTGCTGTATGATTGTTTGATTTGCTGTTTAATATACGTTAATGCTATATATACTTTAGATGCTATTTTGTTTTTGTTTATTTCTTTATAGGTATTTTCAAAAATGACTTCTGTTAATCTAAAAAAGTGTGCGATCCTGTTTTCCTTTAATCTACGCACGTGCATTTTTATGTGTTTATGTTTTATAAGAATGAGCGTGTGCTTCACAAATAAAAGCATTCTTTGTGATGAGATTAGACTTTGTTCTTAATTATATCATATTTACCTAATACTTATAATATCATATGTGTGATCATGTAGAAATAAAAAAAAATATAAGATAATTTTTGTCTATAGTACATTGTACGTTTTATGTGGCGCTGTCAACCTCTCCTATACAACGATTTGATTGACTTTTCTGTAATCACTGCCTTCACAAACTAAACGTGACCACAGGAAACGGCACGCGACTTCAAAATGTTTCAGTCGCAAATGTTTTGATTAGGGTAAAATCTAAGTTAACGTTATTTCAACTTTAATGTTATAGATACGCTGTATGTAAGAAGTTACATTTTATTTTCGATCATTGCAGATCGTTCAGCATGACAATCATTATTGTTGCGAGTGCATGTTTTTGATACTTTTAGTTTTTTTTCCATTTCGGTGTTTTTTCTATTCGGGTGGTTTAAGTATTCTTCTTTTGCATACAGTTCAATCACGTTTAATATGCATTTTCTGCCTTTTAACTTTGACAGCTTATCTGCGATATGCAGGCTTAATAACCACGATCCCCTTTCAAAATTTCATTTTATTTAAGTAGTTTCTTCCATTGTTTTCACGTTTAGGGCACACGCATTTTTATTTGGAAACCATGTGCCGCTTTTTATTGAATGCCACGAACTTTTCACATTAAAAGTTAAATGCTAACCGCCGCGGATGTATCAATATTTAAAATCTTACCAGTACTTTTTAAATGTGGAAGTCTGCTTAAGCCAGTGCTAGAGGGCGTGGACGGTAACTTGCATTTTCTAGTACTGTCATGAATTGGCTCAATCAAACCGAGCCTGCACCATTTTCAATTTTGCCGTGTTCGGCTTTCTTTAGGGATTGTGTGTTATCTCTCTATATTACTAGTATTGATATACTGAATAAAAATTCAGCAAGAATTTTGAACATTTTTTATAAATTATAAACATCCAATTTCCACTTTACTAAAAGTAAAAACTGTAACGTACATGACCGAAAGTTTCCGCATATTTATACGAATATATTATGAATAGTAGCAGAAGTAGCTAAGTAAGTCTAAGTGTCTTTGCTTGAGCCAATAAAATGATCATAAATAAACCTTGGTCAGAATCATATTTCGACTGAATTTAGTAGCATCGCTCAAACAAATTATGTCGATCTCATTAGTAGACCTCCACAGCTAATTTTAAGATAAATAGAGGTAATATGGAAGAGGAAATGGCAATTCTGTTTGAACATTTATAGATGAGGTATAAAACATGTAAATGTATATGAATCATGTAAATTTTTACATCTATACAAATTTAGATTTATATTAACCCACAGCAAGCATCACTTCACTCATAAAGATTTATCATTATCCTGCATGATAATTATAACAGGTCAATAAGATCCCTCCCTCGCAAAGAACAAGTGTAATTCCTCATGTAGAACAGCTGTAGCATTTTCTGTTGTAACATCGTCGGCCACATATTTGGCAAATATTACGTTCCTGCAATACAAGTTTAGCTGTTTAAAACAAACAATCGTAGGGAAGAAATAAATAATTGAAAAATTGTGCTATTTTAATCAATAGTCGTGTTCCTAAATATTACAAAAATATGAAAAAGGGGTGATTCCCCGGAGTCACAAATGAAGTTCTGTACTAGAAGTGTGCTTTTGAAAATTTTTCTTTCTAAAGTGTTACTTATTTCGGTCGTAAAATGTTTTCCATTTGTATAAATAAACAACCTTTTTTCAACATGTGTTAACGTTATACAAAGAATGCAACTATTTCAATATTAAAGCGCGCGAGAACTTCAATGACTTCATTATAGGAAGCTAAAACACATGGAGTCTTTCTGCTTACCTTCCTTGGACTTTTTATTATGTTTGATACATCATCAGATGCTGAATCTTGTCTTGACTGTTCGTCTTCAATGTATCCTAGATCATGCAAGTTTTGAATAAACCGCTCTATTTCAGATTGGGTTACCAGTTGATACTCATCTTTATTTGGGGATGCATCTAATTTAGAAAGCTTTTGTTTGATATCAGATAATGCCTTCTCTCCTTTCTTCAAAGATATAAAGACAAGAACTTCTTTTTCAGGTGTTGCAGTATCCAGCTGCTCCTTGAGATGAACTAGTTCTTGCATGTAAACCTGTATTTCAGAGTTTCCTCGATTAATAAACTTATTGTTTTCATTGAATTTTCTATCCATATATTCAACTGTTTTTCTCTCCAAAGAGTCAAATAAATCATTTATCACTTTTCGTTGTTCTTTTAAAGTTTTAATACACTTTTCTTTTGAGTTTTTGTTGATTAGGGTTTTTTTGTCAAACTTTTCTTTGCAGCTCACGATTTCTTTTATTTCTTTGTCTGTATTTGTCTTCATGTCTTTGAATTCTTGTTTTTTGCATATACTTTTCGCTTTTTCAGGTATGTATTCCATGTCAGAACAGGACCTACAAAGGACTGTATTTTCAATATTCTTTCATGTTAATGATACCACATGGGTTTTTATCTATTGCTATACTTTGTTAAAATGCTAGTTTTTCATTCGTATAACATATTTTGTTCGGAGTAAGCTTATAAAAACCTCGTCAGTCTAGAAAACTAACCGCTCACTGAAAGCTTAATTACAACTCGGGTTTTAAACTTTTGGACCCGAGATCAGATTACCAGGACATAATTCGTAATAAGCAAATCTTGTGGGGTTCGACAAAGTACTTTTTACAACTAACCTTTTTGCCTTTCTAGTGTGAATAACAATATACCAAAGATTTAAACTGAAATACAAAGCATGCTATTTTAAGGCATTAAATAAAACTTACCTATGTTGTAATGACACACAAATGTGGCAACAAAGCGACCCGTGTGTCCCACAGAAGAATTCATAACTTTTGTCATGTGTTTTGCATTTGTAAGGAAGTTTTGACCAAATACCGATGTCTGATCCTTTTAACACTATATGCTTTTCTAGAAGAGGAATTCGTGTATGGAACTGGAAACAAGGTTCACAGAAATATGCTTCGCAGTCGGTGCAATAATATTTGGACACAGCATTCTTCTCTGTTTTCCTACATGGTGTGCACGAGTTTTCTTCGATTATGAAATTCCTGCCTATAATTCCCTTTTCCGATGTCATGTTTTATTTCTAAATAACATGAACAAAAAAAATGTAAAAAGAACAGGGTTCTTTGTTATTCATTTGAGAGTATTACACTTAACGTTTATGATGTTTAAATTGTTATACAGAAGTTATAATAGTGCATAAGTATCATGTAAGTGCAGAAAATATTTACAAAAAGTAGTAATAATAAAACAGCCCTATATGTGCCATGTTTCTTTTTTATTATGTACACATTAATATGACTTACTTACGATAAATACATCAAACGATGTATCTACGAGTAATTGTTTCGGTGAATGCATATGTTATTATTCTTAAAGTATCTGCATACTAAAGTATTTACATACCTGCCTACTCAAATGTAGATAACAATAACAACTAACCCAAAACCAGCAGCAAATAACTGAAAAGATATTTTGATTTTTTTAAACCAATACTTATACTAGGTCTGTATATCGTGTGTGTGCGTATTAAACATTGTAGTATTATTTGTTAAGCTACTGTTATAATTTACTATAGTCAGGTATGTACTCGTTTTGTAAAATATACGAGTACTTACAACAAACTTAAGTGTACTTTCGATTTCAATAAGACCGTTATTGAAATAAATGAAATTATTGTTAAAGTAATCTACATTCCTACTTAGATATAAATGATATCAACTGATAATTTCAAACCAACTCTGCACTCAACTACCAAAATATTTTGATTGATTTAAAGTACAATACATATACTAAGTTTTTATATCGTACAAGAATACTACATTTATAGCCTAATGTTTATGTTTTAATTTACTTTAGTCAAGTATGTATTATACAATAGATTTACAACAAACTTTTAAAAATGTACTTTCGTTTTCAATAAGACCTTTATGAAATATACATAAATATACATGTAGGACAGATTAATCTTGATTTACAATAAATTGTCGATAATAGTGTATAATACATGTATACCTTCAATGCATAGATTGCTAATACATCATGCATATTAAAATAATAAAACAAATATTACCAAAATTTGATTTATAGGTCCACCATGATAGTGTTAAGGTAGAATATTGTCAAATGGTTTTCGTATCATTCCTTAATCATTCGGAACGGCTCGCCAATATCCATAGTCAAGTACGTTGTAATAAATCCAGATTATGAAAAAAAATTGTTTTAAAAAACATATTGGGGAAAGTATGAAATCCATGATTTAAATCAACTTTAACAAGCTATAAATGGGGCGTCCGTGGCCGAGTGGTTAATGTCGTTGACTTCAAACTATTTGCCCCTCACCGCTGTGAGTTAATTCGAATCCCTGAAAGGGACTTAGGATTCTTTCATATGGAACGCCATAGCTGCCTTATGTTGTTACGCGACTTGTTGACATAATATGACGCTTTTCAGACAAAACGACATTTTGACATGATAACATACTGTTTGAAATAAGTTAACAATGTTAAGACATGTCAACATCACATTTTGAAGAGATAAGACTACTGCTACGCAAAATAATGCAATGTTCAGACAATTTGACAAAATACTATGGCAGCACAACACCAATATGTAACATAAAAAGACGCTTTCTAAAAAATGAAAATTCAAAGGGAGTCCATTTTTCTCTTAAATTCTTTTGTTTTTAATCTTTTGTTATAAACATACTTATATCTTTAAAACTATTTTCGTTCTAATTATGTTTTAATGTAGTTTTTCAGCTCTTCTTATTAAGAGTAGGCAGTTAAAGGCAGATGACCGATGAAGTTATTTATTCTGCCAACAACACTGATGACTATGGGACACTGGTAGACACCTTTGCTTTAACTGAACTAGAGTATTATTTGTGAGTTACTTTTGAGTTAAATATGCAAAGGTATTAAAGCCCATATTATGGTCCACAGTTTAGTTATAAAATTCCAAATTATAAACCTAAGATTTCATTTATGTACCCTACATTTCCTAATATAAGCCTTAAAATCTTAAGTATTGCCCTAAAATTTGCCCTAATTTTTTGTCAGAAGGTGCTGGACAGCCTGAAATCAGCACCAGTGTGAAAGGAATTATATGTTTTGAGTGGTCCAGATGTACTTGAATGTCAAACTGTTTAGTGACCTTTGTTTCTATATAAATGAATGCTTCACTATCGAACTAGCTTACAGAACGTCACTGGTTCTACTTAGGTGCCCGTTTATGCCAGAAATTATGGTGGCTGATTTGTGCCATTCGTGTTTTCGCCCCGCGACTCAGCCAAGCGAAAAGCCGAAAATTAAAAAGTTAAAATGGCGGAGGCGCGGAGCGGAAACACGCTAATTAGCAATGACGCAGGCGAAGTTTAATAAATAAAACTTCGTCTCGCGATGGCGCAGAGCGAGATTTAAGAAATAAAACTGCGGGGTCGGGGGACGAAAACACGCTAATAAGCGCGGATGCGGGTCGAAGTTTATTAAATAAATTAAAATTAAATAAATAAAACTTCGCCGCGCGCTCCCGCTTTTTAGCGTGCTTTCGTCCCGCGACCCCGCCAAGCGAAAAGTCGAAAATAAACAAGTCAAAATGGCGGGGGCGCGGAGCGAAAACACGATAATTAGCGAGGGTGCGGGATGAAATAAATAAACCTTTTCCCGCGAGGGCGCGGAGCGAGATTTAAGAAATAAAACAGCGGGGTCGCGGGACGAAAACACGCTAATAAGCGCGGGTGTGGGGTGAAGTTTAATAAATCAAACTTCGACGCGCCCTTCCGCTAATTAGCGTGGAACGATAACACTCTAATTAGCGGGGTCGCAGGGCGAAGTTTAATAAATAAAACTTCGCCGCGCGCTTCAGCTAATTAAAGTGTTTTCGTCCCGCGACCCCGTCAAGCGAAACGTCGAGAATTAACAAGTCAAAATGGCGGTGGCGGAGCGAAAACACGACAATTAGCGAGGGCACGGGACGAAGTTTAATAAATAAAACTTTGCCCTACTGGGTCGCGGAGCGAGATTTAAGAAATAAAAAGGCGGGGTCGCGGGATGAAAACACGCTAATTAGCAGGGGCGCGGGGCGAACTTTAATAAATAAAACTGCGACCCCGCCAAGCGAAAAGCCGAGAATTAACAAGTTAAATGGCGGGGGCGCAGAGCGAAAAGTCCACGCGGGGTGAAGTTTCATTTCTTAAACTTTGCCCCGCGCCCTCGTTAATTAGCGTGTTTTCGCTCCGCGCCCCCGCCATTTTAACTTGTTAATTTTCAATTTTTCGCTTGGCGGGGTCGCGGGGCGAAAACACGAATGACACAAATCAGCCATCATATTACACTGACCTTTTATTTATGTACTGGCAAGGTTTTCTTAGAATATTTTCAATCAAATACATTATGAAATTTAATGTATAATAGATAGGTAAAATACACATATGCAGATGAACATAACTGTGACACATATTTCTTCTATTTGAATTTCGCCGCTGCAAAGCATTTATATTAATAAAAAATAACCTATTTTTTTACATTTGACCAATTGTACTATCATACCATTATGACTGTAGTTTAGCAGTAAATGTTTACCTTTAAATCACAAATCTAGTTATAACTATACATATTTATATAACTTTAATATCATACATTCATATTATAATTATAATACCATGCGTGTGATTATTGAAAAATAAACAAAAAACGAAAACAAATTGGTATAAGATAGTTTTGTGTCTAATGTTCTATATACGTGTTATATGGCGCAAACTCCCCTATCCAGGGAATTGATTGTCTCTTCTCTGGTCATTGTCTTCACAATCTTTACGTTACCATAGGAAACGGTACGTGGATTCAAAATGTTTCAGTCTAAACTGTGTTTTCTTTTCTTTTTCTTTCTTTGTTTGTTTCTTGTTGATGTTTTTGTGACAAAAACAAACGTAACTTTTCGATTTAAATGGATTGAATGAAACCAAATCTTAAATATTTCATACATTGCAATGATCCCATTTTCACGTTGCTATTAAGTTTTCACCTGTTACGTGCATGACCGTAGGTATGTGCATTTAATCAAAATGATGATTAACAATTGCATGTGTGATGATAGCAAGCGAAGCCAAGGAAACCGCTGCGCATTGGTTGGTTGTACTGTATCTACATGCAGTAGTAGCCAAGTAAGTTTAAACGTCTTTGAACGAAGCATTTAATTGATCATGATAAACCTAATCCGCCACATATTTAAATTGAATCTAATAAATTATGTCTGTCTTATTTATGAACCTCTACAGCTAATAATAAGATACAAAAAGTTAATAAGAGGAAAAGGAAACTTTATTTGAACATTCATCGATAAGGCATGATATATATACCATGTAAACGTCTACATCCATACACTAAAGCATTCCCTGCCACATTGTCGGCCACATATTTGGCATATTTTTTGCTCCTGTAATACAAGTTCCGCCTTTTAAAATATCAATCACGACAAAAATGAAAAATCAAAAAGATATACTATTGTAATTAATATTCGTATTCCTAAATAACACAAAGTTCTGTACTCTAAGCGAGCTTTAACTCGAAAAAATATTTTTTCCTAACGTATTATTTTTTTCGGATGTAAAATATTTTCCATTCGTATAAATATTTTTTTCTTTAAATGCGTATTTACATTAAACAAAGAATGTAGTTATTTCAATATCAAAGCGCGCGAGAACTTCAATGACTTATTAGGAAACTAAAACACATGGAGTCTTTCTGCTCACCTTCCTTGGACTTTTCATTATGCTCAATAATTCATCAGAAGCCGAATTGTATCTTGACTGTTCGTCTTCAATGTATCCAAGGTCAGGCAAATTTTGAATAAACTTCTCTATTTCAGAATGGGTTACCAGTTGATACTCGTCTTTATTTGGTGATGCATCCAATTGAGAAAGCTTTTGTTTGATATCAGATAATGTCTTCTCTCCTTTCTTTAAAGATATAAAGACAAGAACTTCTTTTTCAGGTGTTGCAGTATCCAACTGCTCTTTTAGATGAACTAGTTCTTGCATGTAAACCTGTATTTCAGAGTTTCCTCGATTAATATACTTATTGTTTTCATTGAATTTTCTATCCATATATTCAACTGTTTTACTCTCCAAAGAGTCAAATAAATCATTTATCACTTTTCGTTGTTCTTTTAAAGTTTTGATACACTTTTCTTTTGAGTTTTTGTTAATTAGGGCTTTTTTGTCAAGCTTTTCTTTGCAGCTCACGATTTCTTTTATTTCTTTTTCTGTATTTGTCTTCATGTCTTTGAATTCTTGTTTTGTACATATACTTTTCGCTTTTTCAAGTATGTGTTCCATATCAGAGCAGGACCTACAAAGGACTGCATTTTCAATATTTTTTTCATGTAAATGGTACCACATGTGTTTTTTTAATTATTGTTATAATTTGTTAAAATGCTAGTTTTTTATTCGTATAACAAATTTTGTTCGGAGAAAGCTTATAAAAAACCTTATCAGTCTAGAAAACTAACCACTCACTGAAAGCTTAATTACAACTCGGGATTTAAACTTTTGGACCCGAAATCCGACAACTAGGACAAAATTGGTAATAAGCAAATCTTGAGGGGTTTGACAAAGTACTTTTTATAGCTAACTTTCTGCTTTTCTAGTGTGAATTACAATATACCAAAGATTTGAACTGAAGTACAAAACATACTATTATAAGACATTAAATAAAACTTACCTATGTTGTAACGGCACACAAATATGACAACACAGCGACCCGTGTGTCCCACAGAAGAATTCATAACTCTTGTCATGTGTCTTGCATTTGTAAGGAAGTTTTGACCATATACCGATGTCTGATCCTTTTAACACTATATGCTTTTCTAGAAGAGGAATTCGCGTATGAAACTGGAAACAAGGTTCACAGAAATATGCTTCGCAGTCGGTGCAATAGTACTTGGACGCAGCATTCTTCTCTGTTTTCGTACATGGTGTGCAATAGTTACCTTCGATTATGAAATTCCTGCCTATAATTCCCTTTTCCGATGTCATGTTTTATTCCTAAATAACATGAACAAAAATGATGAAAAAGGTGCTTTGTTATTAATTTGAGATTATTGCACTTAACGTTTATGATTCATAAATTTTGTCATGTGTCACGTTTCTTACAAATGTTTATGATTTACGAAAAATGCACCTAAATGATATATCTATAAGTAAATCTTATTTATGTCAATATCTTCATACTCGTACTTGTTTACTTAAAAATAACTAATGTCTGCAAACCAGTAGCAATTAATTGCAAAGATATTCTGTTTTTTTGTAAACTGGGTTTATGTAAAAGGTAGAATGCATATTTAAACATTATAATAACATTCGATAGCCTTTATCCTCTTCAGCTACTGTTACAATGAAATATCGGCGTGTATTTATTATAAAATAGACTTACAACAAACTTAAGTGTACTTTCGACTTCGGTCTTTATTGAAATTAATGAAATTATCCTTGAAGTAATCTACATACTTAGATATGAATGATATTAACTGATAATTTAAATCAAATCTGTACTTCCTAGAAATTTGGATTGATTTAAAACACACAAAAAATACTTACACTATGTGTGTTTATTATCGTATTTAAGTGCAAGAATAAACAATCATTGTGATTACATTTATAGGCTCCAGCATCTGTCAGAATTTATCATAGTCATGTATATTATACAATAGACTTAAACTTATATGTACTTTTGGTTTCATTTAGAACTTAATGAAATAAATGTACATGTAGGACAGAATAATCTTGATTTTCAATAAATTGTCTATAAAATTGAATAACACATGTATATCTCCAATATATAGTGCGTTTATTCATAACAAATAAACAAATACATCATATTAAAATAACAAAATATCATTACCAAAATTTGTTTTATAGGTCCACCATAATAGTTTTAATCTAATCTGGGTATCATATATCTGGCGAATATTGTCGAATGTTTCTTTATCATTCGGAACGGCTCGCCAAATATCAACAGTCATGTACTGAATGACATTTATTGGTATAAATACAGATTATGATATAGTTGTTAAACGTAACATTTACTGAACACCCAGGGGAAATTAAAAAAAACACTCTGGAATTAGCTCTCCATGCTTTAAATATTTCTCACAAGCTATAAAATAGTAAACCCGTCATTTTTCTTAATTATCTTGTTAACACATATTTTATGCACGTTGTATACACTGTTTTTATACCTGATTAATTTATTTTTACTACATGTATATCGCGTTAAAGGTCAGACGAACGCTTGGCGTGTGATGTACAGTAAACAAAATACTGATCTATTAATTCATTGCAGTAATGCCTCATGTTATACTTAACTGAGTTTAAGACATGAAAAATATGTCCTCAGACTTAGCAGGACAATAAGTGTGTTAATTATGACCTGGTTCTACGGACCAGAACATTATCAAAAACAATAATTAAATTTAAAATCAATCAAAAGAAACAGCAAACAACAAAGACATAAACACCAAACCAAAATTTAAAACAACAATGACAAAACATGAATCAAATATTACAAATGCTGTAGTTTAATGAACAACGAGAATCATAAAGTGACAATACTATTACTCGTGTCTAAGATGTTTGTCTTAGATAAATCATGAACTTAAAAAAGTCAAAGTAATATTTTCTATCATAAAGCCATAATTAGTAATGTTATATAGGTCCATAGTGCATTTGATAAATTCATTTACGCATAACATTAACCTTACATTGAGGCACACAACAATGAGACTTGCTGTGATCGATTTGTTTTCCAATCTTTATCAATGTCTAGAAACAGCTGATGTAGTTGTCAAATGTATTGAAGTCAACTTATTAAAAGAAAACAGTGAAATGGATTGGGGTCGATATTTTAGGTCGCAAATCAGAATCCAAGTTTTTTTATATTCTTGTAAGAGAATGTCCTTCACGAGCAACAATTAAAATACTAGTGAACCTGTAAGAAGAAGCTGAAGCCTAGGTTGATTTGCAGTTTATAAATGACACCAGTAGGTGTATAAAATATCTCACCACTACGATAACACGGCAACATTGAAAACATTAAAGTTCAAAATAAATATATGAATTAAGTTCTTTTAAATTGTTGTTGTTGAGAAGATTTAAATTTGCGATATAGATTCTACTTGCAAACGTCCACAAACGGATAGATTACAATATAAAATTTAATGTGTCCTAGTTATCTTTCAAAGCTACATATTTCATAACTCATATTATCTAAAGTGTGCAAATTCATATTAATTATAAACATATCATTGAAATGAACTACCCGTTACCTTAGCAATAATAAAGTTACACCCTGGTGTGTATTTAGATATATAAAAGTACATCACTGTACACGAAAACACATACATGTACACTCTTAACACAGGGTAACTCCAAAGAATGTAAGTTATCAATATATTTCACGTGGTCCAAACAATCCGACAAATCAAAAATGAAAATTCAATTAAACTTTCGTCAGCATGCAGCTGTTCACCACAACCAACAAATGGTTTATTTTCGGCTATATCCTGGATTAGACCCCGGGGTCTAAAACAGGAGTATATATTATTAGTTATAAAGATTGTTGACAGGTTATATGGCCCTATATAAACGGCTATTTGTAAATATAACCCGAGCCGCTGGGCGAGGGTTATATTGCAAATAGCCGTTTATATACGGCCATATAACCTGTCAACAATCTTTACAACGAATTTATAATACAGCACGCATCATTTTTTAGTGAAAAAAGTAAGATTTCTCCATAAATCGATAGCAGCCGTGTATATAAAACTATATAAACGTCACGATTATCCAATGAAAAGCGACGTTACAAACGTGCAGTATTATAAATAAGGTTCATTCCGTTTTCTCTAGTGTATTATATATACAAGTTTTACTCCTGAAAAAATACATAGGGGTCTAAACCAGGAGATTGCCCTTCGTTAGGGTACCAGTCTATTAAGAAATGAACTTCCGAAGAAAAGTTGCCTTTTATCATATCAATTTCATTTTGCAAAATGGTTTCGTAATATCCAACGGTAATATCTGTGATACAGTCAAGAATTTCACCTAAAAATATGGAACACAAACACGATAAGATGCCACATTTTTTTAAGTATATGCTGAATTAAAAAGTAGAATCTGCATAATAAAAATAAAACGATTGGAAACTTTTAAAGAGAAATAAACTGAAAAGTGTATACCCTGACACTGACCAACCCTTTTTAAATTAACGTGTAATTTACAATAGAAAGTATTTTAAGCTAAAAGAACTGCAACCAGAGCATGTAAAACGTCAGTGCCAGAGCATATTTATGACGTCAAAGTCAGAGCATGTAAGCCTACTCATATAAACACGAAATAAGATTTAAACAAATGTCTAAATCTAAATACAGGGGTTGAAGTCACACATCGTGTAGATATTCAATAAAAAAATAATCAGCATACCGCTCTTAATCTCCTGTACAGAGTGTGCAATCCTGTTGTTTTGGTAGAATTATATTTTTCTGCAAATACATCACTGCACTTTTTAGTGTTTGGAGTAAGGTCAGTGCCCCCGGGTTACAACAAAATCTAAAATAAACAGACTTCCGTATATACTCCTTAAAAGCTTACTTAGTAATTGATGTATCTTACACACTCATTTAAACTAAAAGTATTTAAGTTTTTTTCATTTTTACCCATAAACGGGTTTTTTAATTTGTTCATTGAAATTGTTTTTTAAAAATACAAACATAATAAAAAACAATAAAAAAACCACTTTTTTTAAAACTAATGTCTTTTTAAAAACAATACACAAAACTTAATATCCCCAGTTCAGGGTCTCAAATTAAAAATAAATTTGAACAAAAAGAAAAAACCCGGGGAAAAAATTTTAAGTGAAATTTTGGGAAAAAAAATTCCTTGATTTTTAAAATTTTGGGCAAAGCCCAGCCCACTTTAACAATTAATTTATTTGCTTAAATCCTATTTTTTGGCAAACCCCTTTAATTTTAAACTGTGGCAAATTTAATTGTGTCAAAATCGTTCCCAAATTTTTTAAAAATTTCTTTCGTTTTAATTTTTAGAAAAAATTTAATTTTTAGTATTCAGAGTCCAATGGCAAGGCCATTCTCAAGCTTTAAACGGAAATTTGAAACGAAATCATTTAAAACATTGGGACCTCTTTAAACCTCAGGTACGTATATTAAACGTTTTTCAAATATATATTACCTTTGTTTAATTGTTAAGTAAACTTGAAAAGTTTTTGTGTATCTCAAAATTACCTGAGGTTTTGGTAATACTATTTAAAAACCTCGGGAAATATATTTAGTGATGTCTAACCTTAAGCCCGCAATAACTGGATACCAGAAAAATTATTTGATTTTTGACGGGAATTCGAGCAATAAATGAAGAGGTTTCCCAAATTCAAACTAGCTAACCAGTCATTTTGCCCTTAGCTAACCGTAATGCGGACGCAAGTGAATGCAGTGAAAAAATTTTACATTTTAATTTGAAAGCTTAAATGTTTATAAACAAGAATTTTTGGAACAAATATCCGTTTTCTGTTATTTGTAAATTTGTCCTTCCCATATAGTGAATGGTGAAGAATTTGAAGAAACATTGTATAATTAACTCAAGAATAAAAAAACCCGCTCTCAGGGGGGCACCTGCTTGTTTACGTTCTTACATCGATATGTAACTACTTTTACAGTTCTAGAGTCTTTGTCAATCGTGTATTATCCGAAAGTAGAAGATATTTCTCTACATTTTTTTAAACAATAATATTGAATCAATCAAACCTAGACTGAATTTTTTCAATTTTAAATGAGTGTTGAATTTTGAGGCATGAAATGATAATTTGAACAACCAGACATTGAACTTTGAAGGCTAGTAAATTAGCAAACTTGTCAAATGCCCCTAAGTTGAATCGGCCCAAAAATTAGTCAAATTATTAATTATTTTTGTGACGTATGGGCCTGTACGGCTAGCCAAAAGTTCAAGGATACACTGT